GCTTTGGACAGGACCAGAATGTGTGTAAAAGTGTGGCAGGAGATTGTTTGCAGCGATCACACGTCGGATCCAAACATTTTAATCTTTTTAGTGTTTCTATTCTGTAACAAGTCTACTGTCTACCTTTTTTTTTAAAATAAAAAGTWGCTTAATAATGTTGAGTTTGCCTACAAATAAATATCCCACCTAAAAGGAAACTTCCATGTGTTCTCACCTGAATATTTCCTCAGCTTTGTCCAGCTGCTCGAGGTGAAACGCCAGCAGGCCCAGGAGGTTTCGGACCGCGTATTGTAGATACCCAACTTCAACCTCCAGCTCAGCTTGCAGACTCTCCTGCTTCAGGCGAGTGTCTCGGTGTCGCAGCKTCGCAGGTTCAGCAGGTTCCCCGTTCAGATTGAGCTCCAGGTGGAAGTGGCCGGGGATGTAGTCCATGTTCTTAATGAGAGACTCGATGTCCTCGTCTGTGCGGTCCGCCTCCATGGCTCCCTTCTGTACCACTGTGGGGAACGTAAATAAATAAAACTTGAAAAYCTCCTGTCTGTTTCCTGTTGGACTCGAGATCACTTTGTCGTCCTCACATTTGTCTCACGTATGTCCTCCAGGTGTGGGCAGGTTAAACAGGTTAGGCTTGGGAGTGACGAGGGAGGAGAATTCACTGCTGATGTGTGAGAATGAATCCAACTGATAGCAGCTTTTGTTTTGTAGTTTCCACCCTCTTGTTATGCTTTCTACAAAAAATCACATCTTTTTAAATAAAACAAAGTTTACTTTAGGTATTGAGCTAATTCTGGCCCTTAAATATTGCTGTGTATGCAAAAACAGTAATGAATGTGTCATTTAAATAAATGAAATTATTATTATATTCTCTGTGTAGGAGTGGGCATATCAAAGTATCAATGCTCCATACTACTGATACTCAGATGACTAACTGTTTCACATCGATACTAATGACTTTGTTTTTAATAAAGTGAAAATTAAAGTTAGTAGTGTTGAGTCTCCAAATTGTTACATCATGCCAGCATGCAATGGGAGTTATATATTTTGGGTGTGTTGTTGACGTTATTATATTAATATTTTATTTTTTGCATTGTTGCTTATATTTTGTTATTTTTGCACTAGTGATGTTTTTCTTAGAGCTGTGAACAGTCACATTGTAAAAACACATTTAAATCAAAGGTTAAGAGTTTTCTACTCAGCTGTCTTTGCTTTCATTATGCACTAAATTTCATAAGTCCATCTTATTTGTTTCTTTCTTGTTGCACCAGTTTATCATATTGATTTTCAGTTTTTATTGTGCTCTTTTTCTCTTTCTTTGTACTCTTGTTTTCTTGTTTTATGTTTTTTTCTATAGAACTCTGTTTTTTGTATTGCACCACAATGGAAATAAGTGTTCTCACCTTCTTGTGTCATCCTAGTACTAATAATGGATGTGTGTACGTGCAATAGCACTGCTAAATGTAATAAAAAATGGGGAATTATTTTATTAATTGTGCACTATTACATTGTTTTACGTTGTTGTAGTTAGTTAATACAAAACTTTTTAATTTGCCTAAAATCTTTGTCCTATATTTTATCATAATTGACTAACGAAAGGCAAAATCACATAACTATTAAATGAACACAAAGTATCATAATCAGAATAGCCCTGTATTTTCTTTGTATCAAATCAATAACATTTCTAGTATTWCCCAGATTTAGTGCTAACGTAACATTGATATTTTATAAGTTCATTCAGAGACAATGACTGTATTTTGTATTTTAAGAGTATTTTTGGTTTTTAAAATGTTCTTGGCTGAATCTTTTAGCTGTTTGTGCTGTGTGCAGCTG